TTTATGGTCGAAATGAATGACTGCGCATCGATTCTGGAAGTACGTATTTTTGTTAACTTTCCACCTGTTGATACTACTGTACTGAAGGCAGACATTTGAGGGTGCAAAATTTAGTGAGTGACGGAAGCGGAAGGGTGAATGTTGGCTGAAACGGAGAGCCCGACAGGGCAAAGGTTGATTGGTGTCTCTTTTCGTGACCGCATAAACAGTCAGATAAAATGCATGCAAGATGTTGTTGGGGTCACAAATGAAAGTAAAATTCGGTAAGTAAGACATATTGCTCGCCTTGCCGACAATTGCTGGACATTATGTATTAATAAGTAGTACCTACGAGGAAGTAAACGATCACTCAGGCGGCCTTCAAAGTGAAGGCACACATCAAACAAACGATGGGTACGAACTAGAGGTGTCCAGTAGAGGACCGTAGGGACATCATACTGAGTAATTACTAACCAGTTGACTGGGCAGCCTTAATATCATTGGCAAAATTAGTGCTTCTGATGCAAAAAGTTGAAATAAGCATAGCTGTGATCCTGTAAATGCTTGTTTCATTTTTAATTTTTTTTTTTTTTTAATTTGATAATAGCTTCCACTAGCCTTGCAGTCAGCAACATGCAATTCGCTGGTTATCGTTGACGAATTGGGGCGCGGTACATCGACCTATGATGGCTTTGGATTGGCCTGGGCGATTGCGGAGTTGGTTTTCATTTGATTATTTCTGGCTTGAGCTCAGTTTTTCTAATTTATTCGTTTTCGTGTAAACTTCTGTTTGGCGTATCACGGTTGCTGGTCACTTTCTGACCTGCACAGGATGTGTTCGAATTTTAGGGCAAAGTTTCGTAAAGGCTGGCTTTTGTCATTATGAAATGTGCGTTAAAATTTTAGGGACATTCTATGCCGTGTGAAATGCTTCTGTATCTATGCTACTCATTATCATGAACTGACCGAACTCAGCAATGTTTACCCCAAGTTGTTAAAAAACGTCTGCACTGCGTTCCAAATTGACGAAAATGGCTGTTTGATTTTACTGTACAAAATTGTTCCTGGCATCGCTGGTCATTCCTTCGGCTTAAATATTGGAAAAATGGTTGGATTGTCGGAGAGCCTTCTTCAGGTACGTAATAAACACAAAGACGTTCAAACTTTCGTTTTACAG